GGGGGAGGGTGTTGGGCTAGGGGTCGTTGAATGTTGAGTCTTCAGGTCGGGACGCATTTAGAACGTTTGATAACAGCGCCGCCAAATTGGCCGACGAAAGGCGGAAAATAAACCCGGAAAATAGCGGGAATCCGAGAACGGGTGATGCGCTATTTTGAAAATGGTTACTTCACGGCGAAAAAAATTCGGTCGTAAGCAGAGCTTTCGGTGCTTACGACGCACTGAACTTTTCGGTCGTAGGAATCAAACATTACTTAAGATTAGAGTTTATTTTTATAGAGAAATTTTTTTCAGCCCGGACCGCAAGAAGACCCTCTGAAATCAGTAATAAGACGTAAATGATCGACTATGGATATTTAGGCATTTAAAGGTCCATAAGAATTTATTATTAAGGTGTTCGTTGCGAACCTCTTGTTCATCGATCTTTTTCCGTGGGTTTAAATGACAGATTAATCGATATAATCGCAAAGCACGCCACGCCGCTGTCTGGAACTGAACCTTCAGTTTGTCGATGTGAAACCTCGATTCACTGTACCCAACTTCTGTTCTGAACCAAAGAGGTTTGTCCATGCGACTGAATGCTCATATCTCTGTACAGCGGAAAGCGCCTTTTAACCGTGGTAAAATTGGCGATAGGAGCTGCGTTTCAAAATACCATAGGAGTTCTTATAGCCGACTGAAGAGGGCGATAGAAAATCATATAGCTGGCTGTAGAAAGTGGAAAAAATCATACGGCCGGGCTACACGAAGCGATGAAAAATCATACAGCCAGGCTATAGTTCCTATCGCCGGGCTTTACTCTTTATCGCCTGGCTGTTGCTTTTTCGCCATCGGCTGTAAAAGGCTATAAGAAATTGTGTAGAAATTCGCGTGCTTTGTAAATCCTTAAGTTTTTACGGAATCACCTTATTATTTACAAAACGCACATTATATTTTCCTTTACTACATATTTTTTTTCATCAATTAAAATGAGAATAATCTATGCAGAGTGTGCAAACATTTCAAAGTCATGAGTTGAAAAACGCTGACTCCGCGAGATTAAATATTAGAGCCTAACACAAAGCGGAGCGGCGGCGCACTGGCGCCTACAAACCTAACAGGGATACTTCACGCATTGCGCAATGCGTGAAGTATCCCTGTTAGGTTTGTAGGCGCCAATGCGAGTACCGCGCTGGCTGCCCGCCTGCCGCGCCGCGCCGCAGCGTACCGCGGCGCTTGAAGCAACTATTTCACACCAGAGGTATTGCACAGTGTCATACGAAATTGAAGGCGCTCCAACATATTAGGAATGTCAGGCATCCTTCAAAAGTACGGAGCTTTCCTCGCAAAATAAATCAAGATACTACGGCCCAAAAAGAGAGCGGTAGTCCAATAACTCACTAAGTCCTAGCATCCGTAATTAGTAACGTTTAGCATACACTTTATCGCCAGGCTGTTGCTTAATCGCCATCGGCTATAAAAGGCTATAAAAAAATTGTGTTGCCGGCTATAGAAGCTATTGGAAATCTTACAGCCGGCTATAGGTCTATGGTATTTTGAAACATAGATTCTAGAACAATTTTTACCAGGGAAACTCGGCGGTTCGTTTTACTGAGATTTTTTCTCAGTGTATACAAGTCGCAGGCAATTAGAAATCGCTGATAAATTGCGATCTGTTTGTGTTGAATAAAAATATATAAAAATTCAGGTGTAAAAAGACAAAATAGAAAGCATTGATTAGAAAAAGACGCTAAAAATGTGACCCGAAACGAATGAAACAAGGTGGTAAAATAGTGCTGTGTCCTGACTATTTTCAAAGAAAAGCAATAAGTTAAAAAATTCAATTTGAGTCAAACATTTTTAGCTCTACTGCGTGTCAGCACAAGACTGCACTGGAAAAAAAACACATTGGATCTAGAGTCCAGACTCTTAGAAACATCGACAAGAAAAAGTATTCTTGATTCAATCAGAATCTAGCTTAAATCAAGAACCAAGCCTCTTAATTTAAGCGGATTTCGTTTTGATTCAAGCAAAAATCCGATTGAATCAAGAGTATTTTTTCTTGTCAATGTTTTCAAGAGTCTGGACTCCAGATCCAGTGTGTTTTTTTTTCCAGTGTGAGGGGAAGATATTTGTATGAAGCACTGATTATTATGCTCAGAATTCAAGCAGTCATTTTTCTTCCTCTTAAATGGACGTAAGTCTGTCAAACGGAACTATGTGCATTAAGATATGAGCTCTGAGACCCATAAGAATGTATGCAAAAAAGGACTCACGTCATAATGCACATAGTTCCCTTTGGCAGAAATACGTCCAAATGTATGGCATTAGCTACCAGCCGGCACATCCGAGAGTGGGTGTAGCGAAGTCAGTGACCTTAGTTACGCTTGGCTCGGATAGGCAACCAAACTAACAGCCTGGCAAAGCGGAGAGTCTCACTAGAATTTGAAGGCGCCTCAAGGAGCATTCTCGGCAATTTCTGACTGCCTGTAACGTATATTACATACCGTCCGCATTCCGGATCCAGTGATTGAATCGCCGGATTCAGAGGCTGGAAATTTTGAGGAAAGAATCACAACAAACATGCAAACAAGAACAGACAAGCAACTTGAGAACACATCTCTTAGACCAGCAGCCTTATTGTTGAAATTTACGTCAACCTAACAAGTATCAAAAATCGATATATTACACGGCGCAGATAGAGCTATGTCTCGATTTATCTTGTCGAAATGGCCAGTTACAGTTTCAACAATCAAGCTGCAGAGCCGTTTTCTAGTTTAAGAGTGTTAAATGGACTACATTTTGCAATTTGGACCTATAGATTCTAGCCCGGTTTAAAAACAACGTATGTGCCATTAGTTTCCCTATGCCAATAAGTGTTTTTCCAAAAGAACCAGAATTTATAGTTCCAAATTGCAAAATGCAGTCCAAATAACCTCCTATGGCCTCAGAGTCTATGATGCATAGGACCCTTCGGCTGCCAAGAAAAAATCCATGAAAATGAATACCATGTTGTTTCTTTTTGTTTCAGGGTATGATCTAATCGAGTGGCTCATGGAACACTTGGACATAGAAGAATCAGGTGAGGCGAACCAACGTGAAAAACTTTATTCTCCATGATCGCTTTCCTCCGATCATGACCATGATGTCAGCTTTGAGGAGCCTGTCCCAAATTCAAAAATAATTGCTGCCCGCACGCAACCCCACACTCAGACACCCCCCCCCCCCCNTTACACCCCTCACACCTCCTTTCTGTACTAGTAAGGATTCTCGCAAAGTGGGCAACACTGTTTTTCTTCCATTAAATTCATTATAAATAATCGATTTGAGATGAGGCCAACTTCCTCGACAAATATTAATTTTTTATATGCATTTAAAGGGACAAAAACCGGTGTTGCTATATTTCTAGAGTCGCCGCTGTTTCGCAAGTTCTCGACAAGGCGTGAATGATCGATTATTATCGATTTTCCCCCCTTTGAAGGTATGGTAAAGAATCGATTGGACGTATTTCTGCCAAACGGAACTACGCGTGCATCATGACGTGAGCCTCGTCATTTTTAATGGTCTCAGAGCTCATGTCTAAATGGACTGCATTTTGCAATTTGGACCTATAAATTCCGGCCCGGTTTAAAAACAACGTATGTGCCATTAGTTTCCCTATGCACATAAGTGTTTTTTCAGATGAGCCAGAATTTATAGGTCCAAATTGCAAAATGCAGTCCAAATACACATAGTTCCGTTTGGCAGAAATACGTCCGATCATTAGGGTGTTCGTTGCGAACACCCTGTTAATCGATATTTTTCCATAGGTTTAAATGGCAGATAAATCGATATATAGCAAAGTTTGCCACGTTACTGGTTCTCGATCAGTATCGAGTCTGATAGCAACGCACCGTAGTCGTACTTTGGAGAAAAATGAGCTGAGAGCAGTTTTGAATCCAAAAGTAGACTTAAGTTTTCTTTCAGTCGCAAATGTATAGTTAAGGAAAATGTTTTGGACCTGAAAATAGACATTTAACCCTATTAATTGGACGTATATCTGCCAAACGGAACTATGTGCATTAAGACATGAGCCCTGAGATACATCCAATTAGTTCGAATAACATTGAGCCTTTCAGAGGAATAATACTTCTTTACACCTCCTCTTCTCGGTTCTAGCTCAGTGCAACCTTTATGCATTTCTATTAAACACGATCTATTATTTTGTAACCTGGAAATCCAGAAACATTAGAGTTTTCGATCCGAAAATGGTTGACAATTTTTCATATCCTTCCACTCACATCCTTCCAAATTGTGTTCAGAGACAATGGATGGTTGTTCCCCTTAGTATTCTCTATCTCCCCAGCAAAAAGCCACTAAAAAGTACCTTTTGGGCTTGTTTCCGGGCAACTCTGGGATTCTATCTACTCCTGGTTAGAGTAAAACGTGATGACGATACGAGATCTATTCTATTGTCATTTTTAGCTCAGGATCTTAGCTGGCTTATGCGGCGCGGCATTACCAAGTTTATATTTTTCGCACACATAGAGGAGTGCTTCCATATGCCTTTACATATAATTTTAATTTGTAGCATACCTACATATCGTCACATTCCGGCCAAAGTACCAGAAACGCCATGCGACGTTTCAAAATTTCCGCCGTCGTCTTATTTCTTTACAGAGAAATTGTCGGTTAAATTTGTTTGAAAATTTATTGAATTTTATCGGCAACATAGAAAAAATTCAGTGAAATTTTCGGACAGCTTCGTTGAGCAATTTCTTTGTAAATGATTAAAAGGGCGGCGGAAAGTTGGGAATGTTGCATGGCGCTTGTGATACTTTGGTCTGAAGGTGACGATATGTAGGTATGCTACAAATTGAAACTTTTCATTGCTGTATCGCATTAACCAGCTTTGACGCTCTAAAAATTAGAATTTAGGAGTTTTTTATAACAAGGTTTAATTTTAAAATCACTTCAAGGGGACTGCACTTTGATATAATGATCAACTATTTCTGGATAATTTTAGAAACGACGTAATTGTCATTTTATTCCCGTTAAAGGCAGGCGGTGCTTTTGTGAATGAATGAGAAATAGTAGACACTAATGTACCATTAGACAAGGTACGAATTTAAGCGATCTGATACATGTTTCTTAACCAGAATTTTACGTAGAACACGATTCACACAACGAAATTTACTGAAACCAATTCCTAATAAAGATATTATCGTTTTTATTTCACATTGGTTACGAGGAATTTGAAATGCCCGCTCACAGGAAACTCAAAGCTCTACGTGAGTCAAATCGCGCACTACAACGGTTTCAGCAAGCTTCTCAATCGAGCAATGTTCATTTCCCATCATGTGTTGTTCAAACTATTAGCAATTTGCTATAACTGAGCCGAAGCGTCAAGATTAAGGTTGCCAGATTTTTATATCGCAGAGACTGTCATGATAACGTTTAGCGCGCGATGTGAATCACGTAGAGCATTGCGTTTTCATGAGCGGGTGGTTTGAATTCACGCATTAAGAATCATTAAATATCTTCGTAAGGAGTTAATTTCGGTAATTTTCGTTGTATGCATCGTGTTTTACGTACAATTTTGGTTAAGAAACATGTATCAGAATGCTGAAATTCGTACCTTATCTAGTGGTCCATTGCAAAATGTGGTCCAATAAACTTCCCGGGTCCCCGAAAAAAGAGGCATCTTTCTAGGAGGGTTTTCGCTTTATTCTGACAATCCCTCTCTCTCCTCCCCATTCGGCTGAAATAGTGTGTCTATAATTATTCCGTTCTGATAAAATTTATTCAACAAATTGTCACACTCATAGTGATTTCTCGAATTAAATTGTGTGATGAGAGCGAGGTAGAAGTTAGGTAGAACTATCGATCGACCAGCGAGTTTTGAGGAATGAAATAACCACGCTTTCTTGCGAGACTCGTGATGGTCTCAATTTTAAACTCTCCGAGTTTATAACTCTTTTCCAACGCCAACCGTGAACGATGTAACTTGGATTATGATATTCTCTACCATTCCGAAGCCTAGTTTTGTCCTCTCCCCCAGCATGCAACGTATAATGTTCGTCGTTAGAGCAAAAAGTTTACCCCCGACAAAGTTTTCTATCTTATCAGCCATCTTGTCCCAGCCTCGCGACCTACTGAACGTGCGGTCTAATCTTTGCGAAGCGAACTAGCCAAATCCATGTTTTTTAAAAAAAATTCGTATCGATTGCGAGACTAGATAGATGAAATCGTTCCTCGGTGTGATAATTTCCTAGTAGATTCTATTTTAATGAAGGAGAACCACGCTCTTACGATTTGGGTAAAAAAAAGACCGCGGTGTCAAAATAGTCAAATGACATTGGCATCATTGCATAGAGGAGTAGTTTGCAAAGATTTTGCGCAAAAAAACGCTCAAACATTTTAAATTGAAACGAAGTTACAACGATTTAAAATTTGCAGTTAAACATATTGTACGCCGAAAAGAACTTAGGACGTCGAATTGATATCCTAGTTGTTAAAAAAGATAAGTGACTAAGTACCTCAAATCGTTTGTAAAAAGTGCCCCCAACAGTGTCACTAACTTGTCAAATTAACAGCAAAGGCACTTGAGACAAATGTTATAAGGTCGTCGCTTATTGTTTCAACAATCAGGATGTTAATTCAACACCTTTCTTTATTTCGGTGATAGTATTGAGAAACATCTCTTTAAAGGAAACTTGTTATTTTTGGAGCTCATAATTGAGCGTATTTCTGCCAAATGGAAATTTGCGCATTATGATATGAGCCGTGCTATGCATTCATTCTTATGGGTCTCAGGGCTCATGTCTTAATGAACATAGTTCTGTTTGACAGAAGTACGTCCACTTATCCGACTGAAATGCTGCTGAATGAACTCACTCTTTTCCATTTCGGAGAGACATAGCTACTTGAAAATTTCTACACAATGTTGCAACTTTGCAAGTACCCTCCAAGGGACCGTGGGTTTGTATAGGAAGAGAAAGAGGGGGCGCGGCTGGGCCGCATAGAGACCAAGGCATTTTATTTTTTAATTTTAATTTTCAATTCGATGTTCTTTTTTACAGTGGAGGCGGTCCACCTGGCCAACCAGCTATGTCAATACGGCTACTTCTTCCCGGTCAGCGATTCAAAAAATCTGGTAGTCAAAGATGACAGCTCTCTATATAGATTTCAGGTACGTCGTTTCATAAGTAAATCCATTCCACAGATCTTCAACCGGACTACATTTTGCAATAAGGAACTACCATATCTGGACCTTCAATAAAAGCACCTATCTGCGGGGGAAATTATAGCACAAATAATCGTTTCTCGGGAGAGGAAGCATAACTTCAAGGTTGCAAAATTTACTTAAACAATTCAATGTTTCACAAGAATCATCCGTGCAATTTTGGTCCCTATTTTGTCTGGTTTTTGCGTGAGATCAAGAGAAAAGTTAGAGACATTTTCAGTCAGATATGCGCGAGGTTCTCCTGGAAAAATTGTAATTTGCGGGAGGAACTTTAGCAAACACTAAAATGTAGGTCCGCTCATTCGAAGGAGGCGAATGACGATATCGACGGTGAAACTACCAAACCACGTATCTCGGTTTGCGACGTCGCAGACTTCCTGTCATACTTTATTTTTTAAATGAAAAACTCCTTAAATCCAGTCTTGAAAATTTCTGTGATTTTTCCTCTTTGTGCGGAGAAAATTCTGTGAAAATTTCTAGGAATGATATTGATTTGGTCTACTTAAAAAAAATAAAATGTGAGCGTAGATTTTTAAACACCGCAAACGAAATACGTGGTTTGGTAGTTTCACCGTCGATATGCTGTTCCTTAAATAAGTCAGAAATAGTAGTTCCTCCTATTGCCTAATTTAGTCACTGCAAAATGTATGATTTGGAGTGGAGCGCGTAGACCGCTAGCGCTATAGCATTAAATATTTTTAGATTAATTTGATGTCATAAAACACCACTGAGTACTCTACTTGTTAGAAATTTCTAAAGGTGCTAAGTCTCAACTTTTTAATTCACAGTTTTTAAGTTGCCAAAGGGCTTGCTCTAAAAGGGCTTGCAAACCAGTCTCCATATTATCAAAATCAGGCCAAATACATCCGCTGAATAGATAGGCCCTCTTCGAACGGCCCAATGTTGGTAGCGCAGGTAAGTCGTGCTTAGTGACGTCTACACGGCCACGGGCAAATAAACTCATGTTAAATATGCACTGTTTGCACTCAACAGCAGTCCGAGCTTTCTTCATGTCTCACACATACTCTAATTTAAGCCCCGAGTTTGTTTTTCTTACATCGCCAAGTGCAGCGCACACAATCACGTCTTACTTAAGTAAATTTTATCCCTCGAGACCGTTAAAACGCGCGGAGCAAACTGTACTAACATGAAGTTCGTTCTGCCAAGCTGAGGAAAAACGTCATAAGAACCTTCAAGCGTTGCCAAATTTTCTTCGATTAAGTACGAGTTTATTGGGAAAGTTGGAAATATTTGGACCGCGTTTCGCAGAAGGTAACCACGCCACATCAGCTATCGCCAAATTCGACTGCGCACTTTAATTTTTTACAAGATAAAGTCTGTGCGGATTCCTTTGAAATTCACAATATATTTGCTTTGCTTTACGCAGCAAATTCAGTGAAATTCGTACAAAAATCTGCACAACCGGTTTCATGTAAAATATTCAATTGCCCAGTTAAATTTGATAATAGCTGATGTGGCTTGGTTCCTTTCTGCTTATCGCGATCCATTTTCATCCAATTTTTCAGACGATCTCGTTCAGAATTACATCTGAAATATCTGAAAATTTCAAGGAATAGTATGCGAAACTTTCGTTCGATACAAAGTTTCTCTCTAAAAGAGGAAATTTGGCAACATTCAAATGTTCGCTCGTCGTTTTTCCTTTGTCCGGCAGCATTCAGCACTGGACAATACCGATTCAAAATGTGCCTCGAAGGAACGGTACGTTGTCGTTAGGTTCAAACCCAACATACAACTAAACCAGCACCGGAGTAAGTTTGTTGCATACCTTCCCTATTTGAAGGCGCCTTCGTGGCGCACTGTTCGGGCTCTAACGGGTTTAGCGTTTGGCCTGAGCAATTTCATATTTCATATCATATCAAGCAACGATGGAAGAATGCTCGCCTTTTTGTTGTCTATTTTGTTCTAAGTGACGTTTCACGAATCTTTTTTTTTTTTTTTTTTTTTTTGCAGATCCCGTACTACTGGCCGTGGCAACATCGGAGCCCAGACAACATGGAGTATGCTATTTACCTCGCCAAGAGAACCCTCCGGAATAAGCAACGTCACGCTTTAGAAGACTATGAACTGGTGAGCCACCCTTCCCTATTATTTTTTCATCAAAGACCCAGCCTCTAGGAGATTTGTTTTTATTTTTCATCTACGGATGGTGCTGGGTCGCAGGAGACGTCAGCCTGGTCAACAACCATCTCAAAGGCTTCTGCTGTATTCCGTTGGTTATACACTGAAAAATTAAGAATGCAAAATAGAAAGAAGAGAGAAAAAAGTGTAAAATTGCCCGGTATTTTGCAATAGTTATCGATTACCGGTATATCTATCGTTCCCTATTATTTTATGGTCTATCGTTCCCCGTTATTTTATGGAAATGTTTTTCTCCAAGCAGGGCTAAACCATTGGTACCGAGAAAAAGCGGTTCTTTAAACCATCGACTGGTTTACAAGTTCGCATTGTTCCAGTTTTACACGGTTTCTATAGTTTACTGCCGTGTTAAGGGAAAGCGCCGTATGAGCATTCAAATATTTCCAAATTCCTTTTTAGGAAATATTTATTTTGGGAGAAAGTCATGAATATTTTTTCTTGAAAATTTCTGACTCTTTACATGAAAGTACGAACGAAATCCTCTGATAAATCGGAATTGAAATATTCCTAAATTTTCTTGAAAATTAGTGATTTGTCGAAGAAAATTTGGCAACGCCTGAAGGCTCATACGGCGTTTTTCCTTAGCATGGCAGTATAGAACAATTCTGAAGAACAAGTGATGATTTTGATTTAACGGAAATATTGGTAGGTGTTAAAAAATCTGAGTCATTTTCGAATTTCGCATTATAAAACTTGTGGTAACGCCACATTCGACATTTATCTAGTTTGTTTATCTTTCTATATTTACGCAAAACCATCGAGGATCGATATATTAAGTAATAATATTAAAACGTTGATTTTAGTTTCATGTAATACTATCATGAAGTAGCTTAATTATTATTGCAGTTGCTATTGTTAAATAAAATTTTACAAGAAGTCTAACCAAAACGTGTAATTTTTCAGGAGGCCCTGAATAGCTTAAAAAAGAATTTGGCATCAAAATGGGAGGCAATAACTATGCATGCAGAGGAGCAGGTAAGAAATTTTATTATATCTTAATTTTAGATATTTATTGTAATAGGCATTTAATACAAATTTCTACCTGATTATAATCCGACAATAAATCGATAGCTCCGTCAATGTCCGTGGTTTATTTGATTAAATTCCCTGGTCCCCACAATTTAACCTTATTTTGTGCTCGAAAAGTTCCAGATTTGTTTTTCAATCTTAGGAACTTAATTTTGCTAGAGAAAAATCAGGAATAAACTCCAAGACCGTGCACATATAGAGCGTAATAGTAGAATTATTGATCAAAATGAAAATTATTGAATTCCTAATTTGTTCGAAGATAATGCATTGATTTTCAATCAATAAATTGGTTCGAGTTATCGAAAATCACGATAATTTCTGTTAAACAACTCCATTATTTTTGGTAGATGTTGGAAACGTAGCGGCACTGGTAAACATAACTTATTTATCTATTTTATCATATTTAAAAATATCAAAATCATTCAATTATTTTTTTCTTCAGAGAATTGACAACATCAAGATAGTTTCAAAATTGGTTGCATTATTCGAAAATATTGCAACGTCGCAAAAGTTTTTTTGTTATAGAAGCACACGTCGTAAAAATACGCTGATATATATTAATATTCTTATTAGAAGTGTGCAATGTCGCATCTTGGTATTAGTTTCATTTTTGACGTATGCAACGCAACAATGATAAAAGTTAAAATAAGAAACATAAAACAAGCTGAATTTTTCCTAGAAAAGTAATTGAGAACGAACGATTGACTCAAAAGAGGCGCACGAGAAGATCTCACACGTTAGTCACCATCAGAATCAATTTTTCGAGCACAGCAGGAGACGGTACACACGCAAATTCTGCCTCGCAGAAACGTAGTTAGGTTCAAACCTAACATACAACTAAACCAGCACCGAAGACAGTTTGTTGCCTACCCATCCTATTTGAAGGCGTTTCAGTGGCGTGTTGCTCACCATCGCCATAAGTGAAGTCGCTCACCGTGTTTTGGGCATGGTGTTGTCTCTGCAAATGAATGAGTTTGGCGTTAGGAATTCAATTTGCATTCATTGCGACGTTGCAGTATTTCCCGAAAAGTTAATGTTAAACTATTGCGACGTTGCAGTATCTCCTCAGAAATTCAAGCATTTATATTTAGTTTTAATGCGGCCCACCACAGGTTTTTCCGAATGATGCACTCAGTTCATCATCACTGTGACGTTGAAGAATCATTCGAGTAATAGATTTATTTATCAAATTTGAATTAGTATTGTATCATTAAGACGGCGCCAACTTTCTTGAAAAATTCTACTTTTTTTGTTCCTAAGCGCCATCTCTGTATTTATAAAATATAAATGTAAATTATGAATTATGTGCTAAAGATTCAACCATTTTATGTAATAATTTCGACGTTGCTAGGTACTTTATAAGAAAAAAAACTGACTTGTTTAAGTACTCTAACCATGTCGATCTTCAACTAGACAATTAAAAATCTATGCAACGCATATAATTCATAATTCAAGAAACTTGGCGCCGTCTTAATGATACAATACTAATTCAAATTTGATAAATAAATCCATTATTTGAATAATTCTTCAACTTCACAGTGATAATGAAGTGAGTGCATCATTCGGAAAACCTGTGGTGTGCCGCATTAAAACTACATATAAATGCTTGAATTTCTGAGGAGATACTGCAACGTCGCAATAGTTTAACATTAACTTTTCGGGAAATACTGCAACGTCGCAATGAATGCAAATTGAATTCCTAACGCCAAACTCATTCATATGCAGAGACAACACCTTGCCCAAAACACGGTGAGCGACTTCACTTATGGCGATGGTGAGCAACACGCCACTGAAACGCCTTCAAATAGGATGGGTAGGCAACAAACTGTCTTCGGTGCTGGTTTAGTTGTATGTTAGGTTTGAACCTAACTACGTTTCTGCGAGGCAGAATTTGCGTGTGTACCGTCTCCTGCTATGCTCGAAAAATTGATTCTGATGGTGACTAACGTGTGAGATCTTCTCGTGCGCCTCTTTTGAGTCAATCGTTCGTCCTCAATTACTTTTCTAGGAAAAATTCAGCTTGTTTTATGTTTCTTATTTTAACTTTTATCATTGTTGTGTTGCATAGGTCGAAAATGAAACTAATCCCAAGATGCGACATTGCACACTTCTAATAAGAATATTAATATATATCAGCGTATTTTTACGACGTGTGCTTCTATAACAAAAAACCTTTTGCGACGTTGCAGTATTTTCGAAAAATGCAACCAATTTTAAAACTATCTTGATGTTGTCAATTCTCTGAAGAAAAAATATTTGAATGCTTTGGATATTTTTAAATATGATAAAATAGGTAAATAAGTTATGTACACCAGTGCCGCTACGTTGCCAACATCTACCAAAAATAATGGAGTTTTTTTAACAGAAATTATCGTGATTTTCGATAACTCGAACTACTTTATTGGTTGAAAATCAATGCATTATCTTCGAACAATTTAGAAATTTATCTATTATATCTTCTAACAACTCAAATTGCTCATGATTGTTACGTTTCCTTCAATAAACAATCAAATCATGCCCATATTCTTTCAGACTGAATTTTTTAAAAAGTCATTGTAACGTTGACAAATTTCACTGAAAATTAAGGGTGTGATATTTTATTGTAACTAATAATTCATAGAAAAAATGATATTGCTGGCTCAACCATTTTGTGGTTAAAAAAAGTGTCAGACATGTTTCGGTGCAGATTTTACAATAGAGAAATGCTAATTTAACCAACCTCGTGGTTAAATTAGCTTTCCACCGTTGTATAATGTACATTTGAAAAATGTCGGACTTCGGACATATTTTTTAACAACTTAATTGTGAAATCAGCAATATCATTTTTTCCGTGAATTATGAGTTACGAGAAAATATCACACCCATAATTTTCAGTGAAATGTGTCAACGTTGCACTGAGTTTTTACAAAATTTAGTCTAGCAGTATATAGACGTGATTTGATTGTTCATCGATAGATTATCATTGTGTTCTTAGATAGAAGAGTGTTCTTAAGATTGCTGACTGTCCTTCAATAAACAGCCAACACTGGTAAAAAAAACCTCTTGGACCAATGCCGTGGTGCATTGACTTAAGAGTGCAGTTTCTTGTCACCGGATTTAAGAGTCTTGAACACTTGTTTCAAGCGGATTCTGCATTGATTCAAGCGGATTTTGCATTGATTCAAGCGGATTTTGCATTAAAACAAGAGTCCAGACTCTTAAATCCGGCGACAAGAAACTGCACTCTTGAATCAAGAGGTTTTTTTTACCAGTGAAAACACGATTTTAAGTGATGAATTTTTCCGGGATTTTCAGGTGAGGCTGGCGAAGGACCGCAAGAAGGGGGACAAAATCGTGGCGGACAGCCAAGAGCGAGCTTACTGGCGGGTTCATCGACCCCCGCCTGGGTACACCAGCTTGTTAGAACCAGTGCCTGTTTGCAGGGGGCGAGGTGGCACGTCCTCAAAGAAAAGACGAGGGTCAACAGAACTCCACAGAGAGGTTGTTTGCTTACGTCATCGTACATAGTCCAACCGCTTATTTTCACTGCTTTGTTCCCGACGCCCGGTTCCTCAACCGCTTACTACCTCTGCCGTGCTAAGGAAGAACGCCGTATGAGCATTCAAGAGTTGCCAAATTTCCTCAGATGAAAAGTGTATTTTTGACAACATTCATGCATATTTTTCCTTGAAATTTTAAAATACCCTAGATTAAATTGTGTACAAAATTGTATGAAAATTTTGGAAAATAATATTTAGAATTTTCCCAGTAAATTAGGTTTTTATCAGAGGAAATTTGGCCGTCTGTAAACTCATATGGCGTTTTCCCTCAGCATGGTGGTGTTAGGAGCCGCCATTTTTTCCTCCACCTTCTCAACTCATCTCATCGAGATGGAGAAAATGGGAGTTGAAAATCATTTCCTTCACCTCACTCCTCACACGGAGGAAAAAGCTTAGTGCATGGAACCCGAAGTTGAGGTCATATGGATCTCTGAAGTTTCCGGATTACGCATCCGAAAACTTGAGGTCCAGCTGCCGAAGGTCGGGTCAGACATCTGAAGTATTTCGGTATACACCAAAGAGTTTGAGTCACACATACCGGTGCTCCGGTGCATACCGAAGTACTTCAGATGTCTGACCCGAACTTCAGCAGCTGGACCTCAAGTTTTCGGTTGCGTGATCCGAAAACTTCAGAGATCCAAATTACATCAACTTTGGGTCCCGCACACGAAATGTTTTTCTCCGTGCAATAAAGCGGAAGAAGGTTGTTTAAAACATGACTATTTTGGGCACTTTCTAGTTTCATACCAAAATTTGACGATGCTGTGTTAATTGTTCCTGATGATTGGTCAACATTTTTAGTCCGTTTGGATGAAGAGGGAGCAGGTTGATGTTCCCATGTTTGCTGAATTTAAAAATTCGATATTTCTGGAATATTTTGAATGAAATATAGCGGAGTGTGCTAGAAATGTCGAAACATTTTCTCTGAAAGGATACTCGAGGCGTCTAGAGCCAAAAGCGGCAATTTCTCCTTGTCTAAAATTTGTGCAATCGTATTACTTTTCTGTGAGGAACAACTGAAATGTCTAGCTGTTCTTAAACATTTCCAAATTTTCTCGCTCGATAACAGATAATCCACGAGAATACATTAACATGGAGGCTTTCTCGTTCTTTCGATGTTTTAAAATTATAATGATCCCACCATTTTTAGACACGGCAATGGAGATTGCCGCTTTTTGTTCTAGACGCCTCATTTATGCTACTATGGAGGTTGCACCAAAGCGGTGAAGAGGATTAAAAAATAAATGATCCGAGTAACAAATGTTTGTTTCCATACAAAGGATCGCGACTCCCATTCCAAGGTTGAAAGATTGACTCAAACAGAGTAATTTCTTACAAAAATAAGAGCATAAAATTCCTGTCCTAAATATTTCAGATTGTTGCGCATAATCAGACGAATAATTGTTGAAATAATTTCTAGTCAGATGCGCTCAATAGTCACTCAGTAAAAATAAATTTACGATCGAAAATTCTACGACGTTGAAATGTAGTTACCCACGTTCTTTTGCCTGAATATGACAAAATGAAGTAAGAGCCTCCAACAACCACCTTCAAATAAAAATTAAATGAAAATTAAACCTGTCGAACTATGAAATTATACCCGTCTTTTTATTTCAGGTGCAATTCCTGAGAAGCTGTTTGAGCAGGACCCGAGTAAAAACATCTGTTGCCTTAGAAAGTTTAGTTCAACATTGCGAGTTGTACCTCGAATTCGATCCTCTTCTTAGTGGTGCTCAACCATGCAATCCGTGGCACCTGCAGCCGTCGGAGGAGCCTCAATTCTGGCTTTATAATAGTTCCTTGTAAGTAATATTCAATGTTTCCAGAATATTGTGACTTGAAACATGCGATACATTGTGACTTGAAGCGTGGGATTAGCCCTTGTGGGCTATTTGAAGTAGTAAAAAAAAAAAAAAAAAAAAAAAAAAAAAACATCCACCACAAACTGACGGACTCCGATGGCGATTTCAAAAAGATCTACACCGTCGTTCACGTCCTTGCAGTTTTTGCAACACTTCAAAAATTGAGAAAAAATATATCAAAATGTCTTAGTTCGTGTTGGTAAATATTAGAGCAAATTTGTGTACTATTTCCTTTTACGAAAATGAAGTAAGAAGAGCAGGGCCGGATTTACCTACTTCCCAGTTAGACAGCAATATTTTTAAAATATTTTAAAAATATGCACCTTATTTCAAAAATATTTACAGAAAATATTTTCTTCTTTATATTTTTAAAATATTTCAAGAATGTTTTAAAAGTATTCCAAAAATATTTTTCAAAATACTTTTAAAATATAAAATATGACATATTTTTGAAATATTTGTGGAATATTTTTAAAATATAAAATGTAAACATTTTAAAAATATTATAAAATATTATTTTTAAAATGTTTTAAAAATATTTTAAAAATATTAAAAGTAAACGTTTTAAAAATAATATCTTATAATATTTTTAAAATATTCCAAAAATACTTTAAAAATATAAAAAGTAAACATTTTTAAAATAATATTTTATAATATTGTTAAAATATATCATGCCCATGGCCCATGGCCCATGGGCCGCCTGTATTTTCCCGCCCCCTTCTCATTCATTTTGAAATACCAATAAAAACCATCAAGTAAGCTTGCCAGCGAGGGAGGGGTGCATAAGAATTGTTTACTCGTGTTGAACATATTTTTTGGGAAAGCCCTGTTAACACTACTAGCAAAAGTTCACGGAACTTTGCGCGAAAGTTAAGTTCCGTAAACCTATATCTGTGTGGACAAGGCCTTCCATTCATTAGAAATGAACGAACAAACATAGATGTAGTTTAATGATTTTAACTTCCACCGCCGCGCCGCGCCGCGCAGACTGCACTATGTTTGACGCAATGCGTGAAGTATTCACGCAGTCTTGTAGGCGCTAAGCGTTTCACGATGACCGCACTGTCTTTGGCGCAATGCGTGAAGTATTCATGCATTCTTGTAGGCGCTATCCGTTTTACGCTGACCGCAGTGACCGCACTGTGTTTGATGCAAGGCGTGAAGTATTCGTGCAGTCTTGTAGGCGCTAATATGAGTTACATGCCGACCGCTGCGCCGAGGGCTTCTCCTTTTCATCTCAAGTCCTCGTCATCATTTCTCTCTAAGAGTCGCGCCGTTCCAGGCCAAATTGCGTGTTTGGTTTCTCTCTTAACTCGATTATTGAAAGGTGCTGTCTCTTTTATCACTAAAAGACAACAAAATTAGAAATTACTACACTCTCAGGAAATGAGAGATTTCGTCGCCTTTTCTCGTTTGTAATTTTTTTCAAAATTCGATTTTTCTTTTTTTAAAAAAAATTGCAAAATTTGCCGCCCCCTTGATTTGCCGCCATGGGCCGCGGCCCCCATGTGGCCACCCCCTTAATCCGGCCTGAAGAAGAGTAAACGCGCATACTAGTGGAAATGAATAGTCAATAGACATAGTTCAATTACGAACCGATTGCGTTTTGACGCTTTAATCGTTTCGCAAACGTTTTTTTGTTATAGAAGCACACGTCGTAAAAATACGCTGATATATATTTATATTCTTATTAGAAGTGTGCAATGTCGCATCCTAAGATTAGTTTCGTTTCGACCTATGCAACGCAACAATGATAAAAGTGAAAATAGGAAGCATAAAACAAGCCGAATTTTTCCTAGAAAAGTAATTGAGGACCAACGATTGGCTCAAAAGAGGCGCACGAGAAGACCTCACACGTTGGTCACGATCAGAATCAATTTTCCGAGCACAGCACGAGACGGTACACACGCAAATTCTGCTTCGAAGAAACGTAGTTAGGTTCAAACCTAACATACAACTAAACCAGCACCGAAGATAGTTTTTTGCCTACTCATCCTATTTGAAGGCGTTTCAGTGGCGTGTTGCTCACCATCGCCATAAGTAAAGTCGCTCACCGTGTTTTGGGCAAGGTGATGTCTTTGCATATGAATGAGTTTGGCATTAGGAATTCAATTTACATTCATTGCGACGTTGCAGTATTTCCCGAAAAGTGGATGTTAAATTATTGCGACGTTGCAGTATCTCCTCAGAAATTCAAGCATTTACATATAGTTTTAATGCGGCACACCACAGGTTTTTCCGAATGATGCACTCAGTTCATCATCACTGTGACGTTGAAGAATCATTCAAGTAATAGATTTATTTATCAAATTTGAATTAGTATTGTATCATTAAGACGGCGCCAAGTTTCTTGAAAAATTCTACTTTTTTTGTTCCTAAGCGCCATCTCTGTATTATGTTAAATTATAAAATAAAATTGTAAATTATGAATTATATGCTAAAGATTCAACCATTTTATGTTATAATTTCGACGTTGCTAGGTACTTTATAAGAAAAAAAACTGATTCATTCAAGCACTTTAACCGTGTCGATCTTCAACTAGACAGTTAAAAATCTATTTAACGCTGACACATTTTAATATTAAAGGTGTTTTTATTTTCTAACAACTCAATATGCTCACGATCGTTCCGTTTCCTTCAATAAACAATCAAATCGTGCCCATATTCTATCAGACTAAATTTTGTAAAAAGTCATCGTAACGTTGACATATTTCACTGAAAATTAAGGGTTTGCCGCCCCCTTGATTTGCCGCCATGGGCCGCGGCCCATGTGGCCACCCCCTTAATCCGGCCCTGAAGAAGAGTAAACGCGCTTACTAGTGGAAATAAATAGTCACTAGACATAGTTCAATTACGAACCGATTGCGTTTCGACGCTTTAATCTTTTGGGCAAAGTGTTGCTGATTTTGACAACGTACTTTAAAACTCAATGTAAGACTTAGAATTTGTACCAAAGTTTGACGCACGTTGGCAAATTCGCCAACTTTTCTGATTGTTCAATTCTTTGGAAACTAGGTAAATTCAATCAGGTTAAGTGCGATATATATTCGCTGCAGAGTACTCAAGATAAAAAGTCGAAAAAATAATATTTTTATCTTATTTCAGGGTGGATGTTCCAACGGAAAAGAGAGTTCGAAGGTGGGCCTTGTCGATGGAGGATTTAGTAAGCGATGAAACAGGTTTGTATCTTCTCTCTCGGTACAATATCATCCCTCATTAATATTTTTTTGAACATTTAGGACATTTATATTTTCTTAAAAATTACAAACTTATCAACCAAAGCTCTTGAATATTTCTTTGATGTTTAAAATCTAATGCAAGAACATTCTGTGAAAACATCTTTCCCAGTTTAGTCATATATCGACGGTGAAAGTCAGCAATCACATAACTCGTTTGCGGTGTTTGAAAATCTCCGCCTCTACGTCATTTTTTTAAAGGAGAACCAATTAACATTATTTCTTGAAGTTTTTGCAGAACTTTTTTCGCATTGAGAAGAAAAATCATGACAGTTTTAAAGAATTGCCGTTGAGTAGTTTTCCATTTAAAAAATAAAGTATGGCAGGAAGTCTGCAACGTCGCAAACCGAGTTATGTGATTGCCGACTTACACCGTCGATATGTCAAAATTTAAATGTACTGTATCGAGGTGGGTTGATTCTTAAAGCCGTAGTTTAAAAAAATGAAATGATTGCAATTTCATGAAAGTTTACCCTGCAATATGATTTCTACCTTATTTATATTTATCATTTTATGAAAACACTGCTGATTGGTCTGATCATTTATTCCTCCATCATCATCATTTCTCTTGAGATTAATAGGTTTATTACTGTCCTGCAGTGTACTACCCAACCTAAGTCCCTTTATAAGCAGCGATAAAAAACGATTTTATATTATTCTAGGTCTGCACGAGTTTACGGTTTACCTGAAGAAGGAGTACAATCATGAAAATATCAAGTTTTGGGCAGCCGTGAAAGACCTCAGGAGAAGCGCTCAGTCTCAAATTCCGAAAAAAGTCAAACAAATTTATGAGTGAGTCGCAAATTAAGTTTCTTTGCAATTATTAGAGCCAGGTAATTTTTTCAATTAGAATGGAAAAAAAGCAAACCATTGAATGAGTTTAGTCTCGCGATTATGATATGTGGGACAAAAAACGACAAACAATGTCAGAATAAACCAGAGCTATGCCGCCTTTTACAAGTTTCAGTTACGTTTTCAGTCCAGAGAGCGGATTTTCGGAGGAAAAATAATTCAAAATTTGAATCTGTTATCTTCAGGGCACGAAAGTTCCACGTAATTATATGTAAATTTTCAACTTTACGAACTGTAGGTACTGGGGCAAAAATAAACCGAAGCATTACAAAATCATTTTTCTGGACACTAAAGAGAATATTCCAACTTTTCGACCCAAGTAAAAAAAACACTTTGGCGAAAGTATCCTATGGATGATCACATGACTCGTTGTCTCCCAAACGAAGGAACGTAACTGTAATCAAAGGTTGCGAAATTGACTCAAACAATTCTATTTTTCACAAGAATGTACTTGCGAAATCTGAGTCCAAAATTTGTCTGATTTTTGCATGGGATCAGAAGAAAAACCAATGAAAGTTTCAGTAAAAAATGCCTAAGATTATGTATGTAAAAATGCAATTTTACGAGGAGAAATTTGGCAACATTGAAATGTAGTTACATTCTTTTGTGGGAGGAACGACAAACTGTGGTTTTATGTAATAAAACAGTTTAAAAATCAAAATGTACCATGCATGTCTAGGCATGAACAAATATATGAATCACTAATCCAGTTTTTCTTTTCCTCCAGAGAATTTTTAGAAGCCGGTGCTCCTTGCGAGATCAACATAGACGGGAAAACAATGGAGAAGACTTTAGAGGAGATGAAAAATCCTTCGAGGTTCACGTTCGACTCAGCAGCGGAACATGTTTATACTTTGTTATTGAAAAAAGACTGTTATCCAAGGTTCATTAGATCTGATCATTATAAAGCAGTACTCAGCAATGCAATCCAACCTTCCACTAAAAAACGGTAAGACAGCTTCCATTCTGGAATATGTAGACTGTCAAAAGATCTCATAGGGAAAGATAGAGAGAAGGAAAGAACGTAAGCATTGTGCAGAATGCACGGATTCGAAGATCCTTCTAAGAATTTCCATGTACGATTTTTGTTAAATTTGAGGAAAAAATGACGAAAATAAAGTTAGTGTCAAAATTTTGATCAATTCTGTAAAACGGCTCCTGGGTCACTAAACTGCCGATAAAATTGATTGAAATTTTTTAAACAGATTCAACCAACAATTTCTCCGTAAAAAAATAAAACGGCGGCGGAAATTTTGAAACGTCGCATGGTGCTTGTGATACTTTGGGCGGATGGTGACGACATCGGCTTGCAAGTCGAAATTTGCTCAAAGCTTAGGGGCCCGTTATGGGTGGTTTCACGATAACTGGAATAGCTATAGTTTTGTCGCCGTAACGGACAACACACTTTTCGGTCATATTTTTAGTAGAAATGATGATCACTCGAATTTTTTCGCATTAATCTTCAAAAGGTTACATATTATAACGCTTTCTAATGATTTATTGCTGCACTTCTCAATTAACATTATGTCAATTCTGAAAATGTGCTGTCTGTTACGCGGTAAAAATTCAGCGTAACAGACAGCACATTTTCGGCCATTTATATATTAAAATTGAAAAGTAAAGGGATAAATCTTTGAAAAGCGTTATAACACTTAACCCTGTGTAGATAAATGCAAAAAAAAATCGAGTGATTATCATTACTACTAAAAATATGACAGAAAAATGTGTTGTCTGTTACGGCGACAAAACTATTCCAGTTATCGTGAAACCACCCTTATATTGACGTGAAAAGGAAAATAATGTTGATGTTTTTGTTGGTGAAGTTTTTTCGGGTTCGGCGGTCCGGTGAAGAAGAAAGCCTCGTCCAGCGCAGCGACGGCGGCTTCAGCTGGTCTGCAGACGGCAGCGGCGGCGAGTGGGCAGTCGCAGAGCGGCTTCGGCGCCATGTCCACGAGCAAACGAAGAGGCAGCGATCGGAGCCTCACCGGTTCGGCCACCGAGCTTGGCACCGGACCCACCAAAGTTTCCCACTCCCACAGCCAGTCTAATCTCACCGAGGTCCCCTACAGGTGAGCACCCGGTTTTTCAAATTATTTACCTTTGGGAAACACGATACACTGAAAAAAAATCTCGGTGTATTTACTAAGAATAGGGTAAAATTGCCAAGAATTCAGGGTTCTATTTGATCCCAGTTTTTTCTTGGTAAAATTACCATTTATGGAATTGGTAATTTCACCGAGAAATCTCGGTAAAATTGTCGACTTTCTCGGTAATTTTACTGGACCCCGGTAAAAATGCCAATATTTTTTATCGACCGTGGTAGAATTACCAATATAAAATGGCAAAGTTGAGAACCAGTCACCCGAATACTACCGTGCTGAGGAGGAACGCCGTATAAGCCATAAGACGTTGCCATATTTCCTTCGATAAAATAGAATTCACTGCGAAAATTGTGGATATTTTTATTCAAATTTTCCAGACAATTTTTTACGCAATTTAATCTGAAATAACTGAAAATTTCAATAAAAAATATGCGCAACATTCCTCAACACAACACTTTTCATCGGGGGAAATTTGGCAACTCTCGAATGTTCATACGGCGTTTTTCTTAAGCACGGCAGAATACAGCACTGGACAATACCGACTCAAAATGTGCCCGGAGGAGCGTCGTCGTTAGGTTCAAACCCAACATACAACTAAACCAGCACCGGAGCTAGTTTGTTGCATACCTTCCCTGTTTGAAGGCGCCTCCTTGGCGTTACTGTTCAGTATCCCACTACCGTGATGATCGACGAATGTCATTCACCGTTTTTTTTGACAAAATGTTTTCTCTGTAAGTTGAAATGTATGTTCAATTCCAATATGATTCAGAGACCCACGTGACTTTATTAGCCACGTACATCACTCAGACTCACTCTCTCTCTCTCTCTCTCTCTCTCCCTCTATAACGACACTCATTATGACAAAAATCGTCTGTCGACTGTCAAATGTGTCAATTTTTTTTTTTTTTTCAAGTTCAATTTTCTTTTTAACTTCGACTGTAGAAATACCGTAGAAAAAGTCCCTTGCTAAAAAGCACCGTAATTTTACACTTTTTCCTCGTATGGTTTGCCTTTATCTCACACGCATAGGCTATAGTGCTGAACAATTCATCTACGCATCACAAAAAAGTGCTGTCGAACAATTTTCACTTTATGTCAGTTCCGTCGCGTGTTTTGCGATGTATCAATTGATTTGCCACTTATCGATATTTCCCCATTTGAAGCTTTGGAAAAGGATCGATAAACAGGGTGTTCGCAACGGACACCTTAATAATCGATTCTTTGCCATAGCTTCAAATGGGGAAATATCGATAACGATCATTCACACCTCGCTGCTGCTTTGTGTATCCTTTCACCCCTAGGATTTCACCCTAGTTTTAATCCAAGAAGTAGAAATTTACCTTTCATGTACCATATCATACGATTAGAAAGACTCACGATAAAATACTTAGTTGCATATACCTTCCTCCACCACTTTACATTGGCTACTGGCCGAAACCTTATTTGCATGTTTTTGCAGGTAGGAGGATGACATAAATGTAAGATAAATTCCCCATGGTTTGCAGCTTATTTGGCTTTTCTTGTACAATTTCCCGAGTGAGTGTGACTTTTTGGCGTGTGGGTTGATAGTATAGAATAAACAGCGTATTTCTTTCATTCCTTATTTTAAGTATGGATTCTCAAAAAAATGCGAGAGGTAACTATTGAGAGCACAATTATTTGAAAAGAACACATGTTAAAAAGACATTTGTTTCAGGGGTGACATGCCTTCAACAAATCCAGCATTGTGGTCTAATTAGTAAGTGTTCAAAAGAATTTCATGAACTCCTTCTGTGTGGTTTTCTTCGATGTTGTCACGTGACTAAAGCATTTTACTCTTTATTCGTCTGGAGAATTAAAAACTAAATGAAAAAGTTTATTTATTTGAAAAATCTGGAAGGAAGCTTTGTCTCAGAAAACATTTCTCTCCAGTAGTCTATACTATTCACTTACGTCTTGTGCAATGTGACAAAATCAGTGATCAGATGATATGAGCAGATAGGTTTGAGAGCGTGTATGTGACGTGAGAGACACCGGTAGCTTTTGAAGTCATTAGTGTTTCTTCAATTTTCTTCTTCTTCTTAGCTTCTTTTGTATGTATTGTGGCCTTTGTTCTTTAACGTAATGGATTGTCGAGTATGAAATAAATAAAATACGTTTTCTGGAATTAATTGAATGTCTTTAAATTGAGGGAAAGCAAGTAGCATAGAAGGCAACTTTTGATGATAGCAATTCAGCCTCACCAAGGAAAGTAAATGAGTTCGTTTTTTGTTGTTATATGAGTGAAAAATTTCCAAAAATGAGCTCTACTTTGGATCGAGGAGACAAACCTCGTTTTTGAGGACCAAATTTGAGGCGAACTGTATTGGGACTATTTCATACGAAATATTAATTTTCTCTTCTGTTTCTTCATCGTTTACCTCTAGAATTCTAAAACGATTTTGTATTTTTCTTTTCGAGTTTGATTCCATGTGTAATGTAGTTTTTCATTCGTCCGATCTAGTTGTGTGGACATAACTAGTACCTAAGTTTTATATGCTCCTTGTGACTTGGAAATTTCAGGAGTTTTATGTCTTTATCAAACGCTGGGAGTTATGTGTTGATTTAACGCATTCGATAATAATTTATATCGATAAAACCGATAGAACTCCATCGAATGTCACTTACTTTCAAACGAAAGTTTGACTTGAGTCAAAATGAATCGAGAAATGAGTTGATGAATTATTTCACAGGTAGTAGGATGGAACTCGCTTTAAAGACTTGCACGGGTTATGTAAGTTACAAATTTCTCTTAGTTGTATTTTGTACAGTTGTATGCTAATGATACATAGGGAAATTGCTCTGTAATAGTTGCAGGCAAGGTAGAGGCAAGTTTGCATAATACAGTCTCCTGGTATTTATTTTAATTTTCTTATCTTTTTTTGTTTATCATGAAATGGAACACGTTCATGAATTGACAGACAGTTTATTTCATTCGGAAGTAGGAAGATGCACGCAGAAAAGTGCCGGGGCATACAAATTATTATCGAAATTCCACAAGTTTTGATCAATCTCAAAGCCATTGATGCATGCTGTCGTTGAAGAAATACACTTAGTGTAGTGGAAAATAAATCAATTAACATAAATTTAATTAATTTTTTCGTGAATTTCAATCCAAGTTAGAGTGAGGGGGGTTGGGGAAAAATAGTGGAGAGCCTCTTATCACTTTTCATGACAGAAATTGTTAAAAAGTGGGGTTTACGGGGTTAAAATCCTGGACCCCACGCTGCACCTGGGGGGCATTCCATACCCTCCAGACTAGAGTAACTGTATAGCGAGAGTATAGACAGATGTGAAACTCCGAAAATCCATCAGGCCTTCACCAATGCCTCCGCGACTAAAGTTAGGGCCAAGAAATGCAGCCAACCTATGAATTTTTTTTTTTTTTTTTTTTTTTTTTTTTTTTTTTTTT